TGCCTTTGAGCCTGGTGACCCACCACCACCTTTTAAAGGTACTTCGATGCCAACCCCGAGGCTGAATTCTCACCTGGATCATGGAAGGCAGCTTCCATCCTTTCCATCCTTTACCTCCAACTTCAAATTTGCACACAAATGCTATGACACCTCCACAAATTTTTAGTTCTACACACAAACACACACACACACACACACACAAGTGACATGTTATGCCAAGGGAGGATAAGAACAACCTTGTCCCCAGAGGTGGGGAAAGACCCCAGTCTCTTAGCCTTCCGCAAAGGGGTCAACCTTTGGCTCTGCAGCCTTGCGTGAGTGGGGGTGTCGCTTGAAAGCCCCCCCCACACTTCCGCTTGTAATAATCCAAGACAAAATGTCCATCTTGGGATGGCCACCCCCCCCCTTTGAATGTTTAATAGTCATTATATAATATAATTTTGAAATCTTTATCCCTAATTTAATTTTTAATTTCTCACATTAATGTTTAGACGTTTTATTTATCGGTTACATTATAGTGTACCCGGCCCTGAGGCCCTTTTTGAGGGTGATGTGTGGTTTAGAAATATGAAATATAGATGATGGATGGATGGATGGATGGATGGATGGATGGATGGATAGATAGATAGAAAGAAAGAAATTGATACATGATAGGATAGATGGATAGATAGAAATTGATAGATAGATAGATGATAGATAGATAGATAGATAGATAGATAGATAGATAGATAGATAGATAGATAGATAGATAGATAGATAGATAGATAGACAGACAGACAGAATACAGACAGATGACAGAGACAGATAAATAGATGACAGATAAATGACAGACAGATAGATGATAGACAGATGACAGACAGACAGATAGATAACAGACAGGGAGACAGGCAGACAGATGACAGACAGATAAATGACATAGATAGATAGATAGATAGATAGATAGATAGATAGATAGATAGATAGATAGATAGATAGATAGATAGATATGGATGGATGGATGGATGGATGGATGGATGGATAGATAGATAGATAGATAGATAGATAGATAGATAGATAGATAGATAGATAGATAGATAGATGACAGACAGGCAGGCAGACAGATAAATGACATAATAATAATAATAATAATAATAATAATAATAATAATAATAATAATAATAATAATAATAATAATAATAATAATAATAATAATAATAATAATAATTTAATTTATATACCGCCCTTCTCCCGCAGGACTCAGGGCGGTGCTCAGCATATTAAAACAAGTACAAATACAAAATACAAAAAATATAGACCCCTATAAAACCAAATTAAAAACCAAATATTAGAAGCTGTTATTCCTATTAAAATTATTCTTAAAATCATCCCTAAGTAAAATCCTCCCTAGGTCAGGCCCGCTTGCTGGAAAAGCCATGTCTTGAGGGCGCGGCGAAAAGTAAGGAGATCCGGAATCGTCCGGATCTCGGGGGGTAGTTCGTTCCAGAGGGTGGGGGCACCCACAGAGAAGGCCCTCCCCCTGGGGGTCGCCAGCCGACATTGTTTGGTCGACGGCACCCTGAGGAGACCCACTCTGTGGGAGCGTACCAGTCTATGGGAGGAAATCTGTGGATTTGATAGATAGATGACAGACTGATAGATGACAGACAGGCAGACAGATAGACAGATGATAGAGTAAATGGATTGATCAGCTTGGCTGGAATCTGCCCAGTGCAGATAGTCCTCAACATACGACCACAATTGACTCCAACATTTCCGTTGCTAAGTGAGACAGCTGTGAAGTGAGTTTTGCCCCATTTTACGACATTTCCTGCCACAGCTGTGAATAATTGCAGTTGTTAAAAACAATCTGGCCTCCCCTCCCTCCCATTGACTTTGCTTGTCAGAAGGTCACAAAAGGGGGATCCCAGGAACCCCCCGTCATTTTGCCAAGCATCCGAATTTTGATCACGTGACCCTGGGGGAGGGGAGATGCTGCAGGGGTCGTAAGTGTGAAAAGGGGCCCCTTTTTCAATGCCGTTGTCACTTCAAACGTCACTAAACAAATGGCTGTAAGTCGAGGACCACCTGTTCGTCTCTCTGTTTGCGTGCAG